GAAACTAGTTAGGCTTCCAGTTCTTCTCTGCCACTGAAACTACTTAGCCAGTAATCCGTAATATCTCCCATCCTCATAGCCAGTTATATTCCTCATATAAATTCCAGAAACTTTTTATTTAGAAGAAACACTATTCACCTGGCTTCTGAAGCACTGTACAGCTTCTCTTCCTCACTTTCCTTACAGGTTGGAGTACCAAAAGCTTAATCCTTAACCGTATTTCTACATCCCATCCTTAGACAATCTCACCATTCCCATAGCTTTATATAACATCTGTATGCTTAATTACCCCCACATTTCTGTTGTTTGATCTTACCTTTTCTTTGAGCTCCATACTTTGCTCACTTGATATATCTGTTTTACATGTTAAACTTTACATGCCCTAATGGAAGCTCTTATTTTTTCACCCTCTGTAGAACTGCTTCTTTGTTCTCTCAGTAGAAGACATTGTCCAGTCGTTCAGTCCATAATTCAATAATCCTTTGATCCTTTTCTTTCCCTGTACCTATGTCCATCTCATCAATAAGTCCTATCAGTTCTACATTCAAAACACAGAGTTTACCACTTCTCTAAGTACTTATTTCTATATTCAGGCCCAAACTACTTTCACTTAGTACTTTCTTGAGGTAAGTATTCCTGCTAGATGTATATATATATATATTTTTTTTTGGTACCAGGAATCAAACTCATGACCTCAGGCTTGCCAGGCAAGCACTTAAGCCACTGAGCTATACCCCTGGCCCTCCTGCTAGATGTAGAAGTACTGTACTATATTACTTTGACAGAGTAATTATTATAAGACTTAAATTGGATAATCATACACATGCTTTTCACATCGATCAAAATAGTATCCAGATACCTAGATAAGGCTTACAAGGTTCTCCTGAGCTGCCCCCCCCATCTTTTCTACCTTAAGACCCAATACAGTACCTAACCTAACACCTTTTAGGTGGTGTTTAATATGCCAAGTGGATTTCTGCCTCAAGGGCTTCGTTTTCATTGTTCCTACTACAGACAGTCCTTGTTTAATGACCAAGTTAGGTGCCTGTGACTGGGTGATTAATTGAATTGGTCATTAAATGAAGAATTGTATGTATATTACAATACATATTTAGAACAAAGAAACGGTCAAAGGAAACTCCAACTTGATGACTTGCATTTATTTGCATAACTCTTACATGTAGTACTGTAATATATAATAGAATGTAAAACTAGCACTGTACTGCATGGTCAGCAAAAATTACTATATAAACAAGGTGTATTATACAACAGATAAAGACATTGAGGCTCTATAAACAGAAAGGAAGCTCCAGTGAAGCTCTGGACTACAAAAATAGAGCAGAGGAGATCTTGATTGCTGAGAAGGAACAGATAGAAAAAAATGGCCTGAAGGCATCCCAAGAAGCGGTAGGACTCCACCCTTTGCAGCCTCAATATTGAAAGACTTTGAGAAGAAAGACCCCAAGCACCATGTTTCACAATGGGTGTGGCCTAGGGAAATTGTTCCTTGGGATTTGGCTCATAGATACTCAACCCCTGCAACCAAGAAAGAAAGAAGCCTGGCTGCTGCTTCAACTAGTGGCAGACCTTGGCATCATCCATGTGGTGCTGGTTGTAGGTACATGCAGAATGCAAGAGTGTGGGTTCAGAAGGCTTCCACTCAGATTTCAGAAGGCTGGGGAGGTCTGACAGTTTACCCCTGAGAGGGTACTGTGTGAAGCTGTGAGTGTGAAGCCAAAGGTGCAGCGGAGACCCTAGAAGTTCGGAGAAGCCAGGAGTGTGGATCATCTGAGGAAAACTCCAAGGAGGGAGCAGAGCCAGCCCCAGAGATAAGCCATGGGAGCTACAACCACCAGAAGTGCTGTAGGGACAGATCCACTCAAGCTGTTTAGAGTTCATGTCTTGACATGGATTGCTTTGGATGCTGCACATGGAACTATAGGATGTAATGTAGTGGTGAATTTTGGACTTGCTTTGGTCCCATTCCTTTGTATCCCCCTATTTATATATTTTAGAACAGTAATGTTTATCTTCTGCCATTGTATGTTGGAAGTGTTTAACTTTCTTTTCATTTGTACAGGGGCTTGCATCTAAGAGTTTGCCTTAAATCTGAAGGGAGTTGGATTTTAAGAGTTGCCAAAGTTTTAACAGTTTCAGCAACTCTTAGAAATGGACTAAATGCCTTTTTCATAACAAAATGTACATTAGTCTTTGGGGGGCCAGGGGCAGAATGTTATAGTTTGTGTCTAGATGTCTCCCCAAAGCCTCATGCAGTCTTAGATGGAGCTTTTTAAAAGGTGGTTGAACCTAGAGTGTGTGATGCCTGGGATTAAGAGTACGTAATTAGTGACTCAGTATACTGATTGGTTTGGCACTGCCCTAATCCTGGTAGCCTGGATACAATATAAGGGACATTGTCTTCCCTTGCTTGTTGCTCTTAGTGTCTGCTACCATGAGCTGTTCTCTGTGATGCTCCTCTGCTGAGCCACCCTCCCTTGGAGCCAGCTGATTATAGACTGAAACCTCTACAAACTGTGACTCCCTGCTTAACTTTGGGTGTTGGCTGTTTTGTCTCAGCAACAAGAGAAAAGTAACTAAAACAGGGAGTTATAAAGAAAAGTTGATCAGTACTACAAAATAAGTTCAGTATAATAAAGATGTCAGTGTTTTTTATATGACAGTGCAGTGCTGGGAGTATAGAATTTAAGAGTTTCTACCCTTACGGAGGTTGCTTACACTGTGGTGGGAGAAATAGAGCAAGGGAATAGTTTCAGTACCGTGCAGCAGGTGCTATGATAAATGTGTACTAACATGTAAAAGTTCTGAATAAAAGGTACCAGATTGAATCTGGGTGGATAGTGAGGATTACAGAGGGGAGACTTCCTGAGGAAGTAAAACACTAGCAAACAGGCCTAGCTGAATCTTAAACAATACATAGGTACTGGTTAGATAAAAATGAGGAGAAAGAAGGGATCAGGGCAAGGAGGAAAAGCATGAGCAAAGGCTCAGAGGCTGGAAACACCATGACTGTTGGGGAGACATCCTAGTACTGCTGATGTTACTGAAGTTCTATCTGTGGCAGTAGAATAGGCCAAGTAACAGAGTAAAGGCTGTGGTTGAGTTGGGAGTTTGTTCTTGCTTCTTCAGATGTTTGCCTGTTAACTGTGCAACAATATTCCAGACTACTTGGAGAGGTATTAACTGCAAACTCACCTCTGAATGTGGAAAATTGTCACAAGATAGGTTGTTTCTGTTCATCATTGGGATTTTCCTATACAACTAGTATCAAATGTTCTGTGCAAAACGAGTATTTTCTTAAATGATATACTTTGTCAATTCTACACAAAAGCAGTATGCATGAGTTTGTGTCTTACATTAGTCTTTTGGTAGGTTCCAAGAAGAACTATAGTTACAAAGTGTTGTTTATAAAGTAAGTACAGAGAGCAAGTGGACTATATCTTGTGTTAGTAAGAAGAAGCTGAACTTTCCAGAAAAGTAATTTGAGAGCCTAGTTCATGCCTATATTTTTTGGATGTGTTTTTAACACCAGTTCAGGACAAGAATTCCCTAAAAACTCTTATCACTTAGTGCTCTGCCTTCAGCCCTGTGTGGGTGTACTTTAGAACAAAATTTGGAACAAAACAAGGTATATGAAAATGGAAAAATGTTATCAGATGTAAAAAGAGAATTTATGATATTTAAATAGTCCATATCTTTTTTTACTACATAGGAATTAGAAAACAAGAGACGACTACAAAAACAGGCTGTCACCAGTCAAAGTGCTACAGAAGTTCGCTTGAACAGAGCCCTCGAAGAAGCAGAAAAATATAAATTGGAGTTAAGTAAATTAAAGCAAAACAATAAGGTATGCAAGATTGAATGCTTTTGGTAGTGATGACCTTTGGTAACTTTATGTAAGTATTGAAGATAATGACTTTAAAATTTTAATTCTTGATGTCATGTTGAACATTTCTCTTTTGAGAAGAAATATATTCACTAGTAATAAGTACATTTTCAACAAGTAGGATTATATGCTTGGGCTATTACCATGATTAGGTGATGGCACGATCCTTTGGAGGACTTTTTCAGTTGTTCACCAGAAAGTCATTATGGTTCCCCATATTCTATCACAGATACTTTTCTAATCTCTAAGGGTAAGTACTGGGGAAAGGTGTCTTTTATATCTCGTTTGTTATGTTACTATTTTTTTTGTTATGTTCTTTTGTATGCCCCATTCTTCTTCTTCTCCTTTTTTTCTGGTACTGGGAATTGAACTCACGGCCTCGCGCTTGCCAGGCAGGCGCTGTGCCGCTGAGCTAAATCCTCAGCCCCCCATTCTTCTAATATAAATGGAGGGCTGTTTTATACAATAGTGGTTCTCAAACTTGAGCATCACTCAGGACCACCTGGAGGGCTTGTTAAAACTCAAGTTGTGCAGTGGCAGCCTCACAGCTTCTAACATGGGTGGTGCAGAGTGAGGCTGGAATGTGAAGCTACTGCTTGCAGTTCTCAAACCACAGTTCTTTAACTTGTTACAGAAAGGGAGATCACTCTCATGTCTCCAGTGCTTGGCAGAGGATTAGCATTCAGTGCCTTAAATATCTTGAGTGAATGAAGGCCCAAGTACTGATGTGTATGTGAGACTCTTCTTTGAGTATTCCACACATGCTGGTTATTACCTTTTGGTTCTGTGTGAACCTTAATGGCCAGAACATGATACTGTGTTGCAATCTTTCCCTTAGGACATACTTAATAATTTAACAGTAACTCAGATTAGAGATGACAGACCTTTTAGAGATCAAGTACCAAACTACAAGCCAAAACCCACTTACTTTTTTTTTTTTGGTTTGGTTTTTTCCCGGTATTGGGAATCCAACTCATGACCTTGCACTTGCTAGGCAGGCACTGTGCCGCTGAGCTAAATCCCCAGCCCCCAAAACCCACTTATATATCAGTAATTGCCAACACTGCAATTAAACCTGAATACTGAGGTTTTAGTTAAAAAAAAAAAAAACTCTACATTCAATTTCTGGTACCAGGAAAAAACAAAAAAAAAGACAAACTCTACCTTAACGTCTTTTCTCTTAAAAGAAAAGCACAATAACACGTGTGCCATAGGTCTGCCACCACTGAATTACATGATAAAAATTAAGAAGTGCTTTATTTCAAACACAGATAATACACTTTTGTATTACACTGGTGATACTTCATAGGAGTAGAATAAAATTGGCCCTCATTACTCCTTTAACTTGTTTAACAAAGGTAAATATGTGACAGTAACGACAGTTTCAGTGGTGTGAGATAGTTTATGCTATATGATTAAGCCATTTTCAAGAGCCATCAGTGCTACTTTACATTCCCACCAGCAATGCAGGAGGGTTTTTTTTTCACCACAGCCTTGCCAGCATTTGTTATTTTTTGATTTCTTGATGACTACCATTCACAGATAGAATCATGTCATTGTTTTAATTTGCGTTTTTCTCATGGCCAGAGGTATTGAACATTTTTCCATATATTTGTTCACCACCCACAGTATTTCTTCCTCTCTGAAGTATCTTTTCATTTCACTTGCCGATTTCTTGATTGGGTCTTTTAGGTGGTCGAATATTCTTGAGTTCTTTATATATTGCTGCATCCAGTTCAGCTCTCAGAGTTCCCAGGGGGAGGACAATGAGAGGGTGGAGAAATAAATATAAGGGACAGAAAGATGAGGTCAGCCCTCCCTCCAGGTTGGAGGGAAGGGACTGCTCAGCCAGTGTGGAGCGTTTATGTGTACATTTGGCAGGTTGGTGTCATGTGACACCCCCTTTGCCTAGCAGCTCATGGCCTGGATTGTCTTGGGGCTTGGTGCTCTCTAGGCTGAAGCAGCTTCTTCATGTGGCTTGTCTCAAGTGCTCTTTGTTCTGAGGCAGGGCTTGCCTTGCCCCCACATGTGTGAGCAATTTCCAGCTTCAGTCACTCCCTACATTTCCCTCTTTTTTGTTTCATAGTTGCAAGCAGTGGGTGGTCAGTTGAAGTTGAAGGAGTTGTGTTTGGAGGGCTTCTGCAGACAATTTTCTTTCTTGTGGTTATAATTTTCTTCTGGATGTTTAAGAACAAAGTTAAAGTGAGGTCTGTATTAAGTAATTTTTTGTTATCTATTGGGATCAGTTAAATCTCCTCAGGATTTACCTTGGAACCATGTATAATACCTCTTAGTTCTTCTGTCAGTGTCAGCTGTCTGGATGAGTCATGGGCATTGCTTGACCAAGTTGCTTTCTGTAAAAGATTGGGAAAAATTTTTTTTTCTCCTGGTGACTCCCTTAGGCACCCTAGACATCACTGATCACTTTCCTCTGTGATCCCACAATCTCCTTGGTCAGAAAACCATGGACTCACTGAGTTTAGGCTTTTGCACCAAAGGTTTTCTGATGTCCTGGGTCCTCACTGACCTTGGAGGGCTGGGGCCAAAATATTACTGTCCTCCTAGCCTGTCTATCTTTCTACATTTTGGTCTCCAAACTTCAGTTGTTGAACATCTAGAAGAAAAGGTAAGTTTAATATTACTATGTTATCTAAATATCAAGAACCTTAGAACATAACATAGAACCATTGTTTTCTAACAACCATGGATATTCTAATATTTGAATCCCTATAGAATGTTAATAGTTCTATATTTAACAAAGAAAGTTAGAAATGAAAACCTATAAATAATGTTGCAGCATGACAATCATGATGACATTTTGTAACACACTTAAATTTCCATTTTGACATAGTATAACCTTTTAATCAATCATCTGTATCTAATACATAAGAAACTTTTACCTAATTGTGGAACTTCAATGGGATGTACATAACATAAGTTTTTGTTAAAAGTAGAAGTCTGAATCTGAAAGGAAAGTCTGTCACTGTAAGCAAGCCTCATTACACACTTCGGAAGACCCACACATCTGAAGGCATGAGTACATTTACTACATTACAAAAACAATTAACAATCAGTTGTCATAGTGGTATGAAGATCTTTGTACCAGAGCATCTTGAAATCAGAAACCTTGTTGTCTAGAAAACTTAATCCTTTGATGAATGAGCAGTGTAAACATATTGCAATATTTGAATAACATTTACGGGGGTAACTCCTGTAAGGCTCTGGAGATCACTGGGGCTTCCTGTCAATGAACAAAGGCTGGGAATTTTCACCAATGGGAACTTTGACCAATAACCTCTCCCCAGCCTGAGAGATTTTTGTTTAATTATCTTAACAATTTTTTGAACTATGAGAAAACCAAATTTGGTATCATTTTGACCACCTGGCACCCCAGGTGGAAGCATGCTTTTTAAATCTATAAACCAGATTAAATTATGAACAAATGATCCAAAAATGCAAAAAAAAAAAAAATTGTTGAGCCCAAATAAAAGACAGCTGTTAACTTATTGGACAAATGGACAAACAAACAAGTACACAGTTTAACAGAGTGGACAAACAGACGAACAAGGGCCTGAGGATTTAGCTCAGCAGCACAG